AGATATTAATACAAATAGAATATACCAAACAGAAAGTCTAATATACCTTAAATGCGACAAGATCTTAACATAAAAGGTAGATTTAACATATCAATCAAGCATATAAGATAAATGTAGTTAAATCAGATAAGATCGGCTGAAACCCCGATGCTACCCTAATCGGCAACCAAAGACAGGCTAGAGATTGAGATTCTAATCACGACTCATAAGATCAAACTCAACTGATGCAACTATAAGTATGAAAAGATGGACAATATCTAGACAATCAAGACGTTGGATGTTTCATAAAGTGGTAGATATCCTATATAATCTAAGTCAACGTTGGTATTTAACCTAATCGGCTGCCTTCTAGTAGCAGACGTCAGCCGATTGAAGGTTAGATAGCGATATTGCTGGAGATTATGTAAGATATATGATAACTCGACGAATTACATAAATAAGATTAGAGTATCATAAAGATGGAAGCACTAATCCCGAGAACGTAAGCCACCATAATAAGTTTTACCTCTTGTTGAAGATCGAAACCGATGCAGCTCAACCCGAGAGTAAGAAATCGTCGAAACAAAACGAAAGTAAAAGGGTGGCGATGCGCCGAGATTGTATTGAACGTGTGTTCGTTTGATTACATGGGGCTCGGGGTCTATTTATACCCGAGATTACAAAATATGTCCATATCGGACATGACTCTTATCTCTAACAACTCTAAGATACCATGTCTTTGCGGCAGACTTTTGCCCAAACATATCTCTAAGGAAATTACATGAAATATCCTAATTGATAGATACAATTGTCTTCCTAGGACTCTATCCATACGCGGCAATCCTCATGAAGCACATCAACCTAACCCGACAACGTATGCCGTGCCATATTGTTAGATTCGGCTCGATCGGCTAACCCTGTCCAACTCGGACTATGCCGATCCTAGTCACAGCCGATTCGGACTTCAGCCGATCCTACTCTGTTTCTGGAACGATCACCATCTCGAACTCTGTTTTGATTCCCTCTTCATCTCCAATTCTTGGATTGCCAAATATGGTCGTTAACACGGCAGCGGCTAGGAGACGGCGGCCGGGCTATGTTTTTGTGATTTTCTTTAGATTTTTTTTGAATGATTTGTAAACTTTGTTGTAGATTATTTTAGATTTGGGGATGATTCTGTGAATGACTTGTGGAGTGTGGATGATTTTGTGGATGGCCAATTGTGGATGATTTATTATGCATGATTTGTGGATGATTTGTTGGGATTTGAGGGTGACAATAAATGCAAGCAAAAAAAACAATGAAAAAAGGCAAAATTTGCTATAGGACACTAAAAAAACGTGTAATTGGTCGAGAGACACCGCAGAAACTTTACACGGCTGATGGATACTCCAAAAATTATGTAATTAGCTGTAGGACACCGAAGGCAATATTTTATAATTTCTGGGTAAAAAGAGGTGATATATTTTTCCAAATGACGAGATTGCCCAGTGTGCAAAGAAAATTATATATTCAGAAGAAGAAGACATGAGACGTACTTGATAAAGATTAATACGTACGTACCCTTAAAGATGCACTAATACAAGCATGGCAAATGATAGCTAGAAGATGAATTCATGGAAATCTACTGTCGTCGATCTAGAGATGCAGCTCCAGGTCCATCTGCTTGTCGCCGGCGCCCATGGAAGACACGGCGGTGGCTGCAGCGGCGGCGGCGGCGGCGTGGGACGCTCTTGTCTAGTTGAGCATGTCCACCGTGTTGTCGTCGCGGCCGGCGCTGCCGAGAGCGGCCATGAGCTGCGCGTGCTCCGTGAAGCGCTGTGCGCCGACGCCGACGCCGCTCCACCACTCGATTGGGCCTACGCTGTAGCCGTGGGAGGAGATGGCGCCATCTTTCCCCACCCAAAATCAAAAAATTTCTTAGCTGGGAGCAGCCGCCGCGCCGCCATGGCCACCACCGCCCTCCTCCCCCATGCCCACCCCGCCTGCAAGCCCCCTCCCCCTCCCTCGCCACCGCGCCACTGCGGCGGGTGAGGCGCTGCGCTCGCTGGCCCCGCCGTCTCGCCCTGAGTTGCTCTCCCTCGACGACGGCGCTAGCGCGTTGAAGTCCTGTGCCGACGCCAGCACGAGGAGCATCGCCGTCACGCACTTTTTTCTCTGCTATTCCCCAGCGCAGAGCAGAGGCAGACGCGTCTCGCGGTCTCGCTCGCCTCGGCGTTGGTCGCGTGGCCCACCTTGTCGTCGGCGGTGGCCCCGCCGGCCTCGCCATCGCGCAGCGCGTCGCCGAGGCGGGCCTCTCCGTCTGCGCCATCAACGCCCATTGCAGGGGCAATCTCGTCATTTGGAAAAAAAATGTCACCTTTTTGATCCAAAAATTATAAAATATTGCCTCCGGTGTCCTATAGCCAATTACACAATTTTTAAAGTGCCCATCAACCGTGTCACATTTTTGCAGTGTCTCCCAACCAATTACATATTTTTTGAGTGTCCTGTAGCAAATTTTGCTATGAAAAAAAAACCTAACCAACTAGACTAATTGCGCTACCATATTTAGTCCCGGTTGATAACACCAACCTGGGACTAAAAAGGGTTACAAATACGGTAAAAAAGAAAGGGTTATAAATCGGGAGTAAAGAGTCTTTCCCTAGTAGTGTGGGTATTATAGTAAATATCTCAATCCATAGATAATTTTAACAGAACTACAGAAGCACAACTTGCACAACAAGCCAGTTGCGAGGATGGAATGGGCAGGCTTGCCTGCCTGCGCCACCTCCGACGCCCGTGCATCGCCGCTTGCGCCCATGCGCTGTCGCGTCGCTAGCGGTCGCCGCTGTTGACGTAAAATTTCATTGTGACATACAAAGTCCTGGGAGATTTGTTTACTCTAGTGCAGGTCCTAAAATAATGGGCACGGACATGCCAGTTAATTTGATCCTATAACTAACAAGATAGATGAACTGTTGATCGAAGAGCCAATAAGATAATAAGCCAATGTCAATAGGGTTTTAAACAATCGACTATATATCCGATGTAGATTCTGACAATGGAAGAACTTGGAACAAACAATCCAATCGACTGATAATAATATGAGAAAGTAGATGTCCAATGAACCAGTCGACCGATATCAATATAGAATATGAAATGTAGGCTCGTTGGTTAAAACATACATCGGCTAAAAGTCCAATGTAAATATAACTTATTGGTTAACACTCCGATTAAACATAGAACAAATATATAAACTTAGCAAGACTTAGATTATCAGTAGTAATACAGAATATCGGACCCAACCAAGATAGTTCTAGGTTACTTCTGATCAGATAAGCTAGATAAGCCGATAGATATATGCTAACGTGATGGATATGGCAAATCTATTTAAAATAATATTGTGATTGTAGAGATATATTTACTAAGACAGAAGATTGGACCTAACCGAGACAATCCCAACTAAACCGACGCGTCTCTAAACACAATGCAACTAAAGATAGAATTGGAATATTGGGTAGGCAAACATATCAACCGAACTAGAGCAATCCAAGAGATTGAAGCGATGCAGCCTTAAACAACGCCAATATAGCCGATACAATTGCCATGGCGCGAGGAACTTAGGGATTTCTCCTTCGCCGGAGATCGAAAAGATGCAGCCCCGTATCAGGTGTCAAGTCCTACCGGTGATAAAACCTCAGAAAAGAGGGTGGTGATGTGCTGAAAATTATATTGATCTAGAGATAGATACAGTGACCTCGGTTGTACTTATTTATATCCATGGGTAGATAGTAGCACAATTACCCCAGTTGTATATATTTATATTCACAGGCGAGCTGGCTACGCGATTTTGGAGGGAAGGCTGTTACAAATGGTATCAAAGCCGACCCTCACGATTGCGCGTATGGGTCAGTGGGTGGGCATATGGCACTTGTGGGCACTGTGTGAAGCACATGACATGGCATATGGCGCCTGCACTAGACGTACGGACGTGCGCTAACAGGGGGCGTATTCCTGGACATTTGCCTATATGCCTGTGCCCTTCAACCATATCACTCCCGGGTTAACCCTTTTACATAAAAAGTGTGATTTCCAAGAAATGCCATCGACAAGTGTTAGTTTCAAGAAATGCCATCGTATAAACGACTTTGTCCCAAAAATGCCATCGCCGTTACGGTTACGTCCTGTGCCGTTAAGTGTTATAGGATGAACATTGTATTTAATATCACGGAATGGACGGAACCCTAACGGCGATGATATTTTTTTGGACAAAATCGATTGTACAATGGCATTTCTTGGAACTCACACTTGTTGATGGCATTTCTTGGATTTAGACGCTTGTCAATGGCATTTCTTAGATTATCTCAATATAAAACCCGCTTGCGGCCACTAAATTTGTAGGTATCAGGTCGGGTGTGCCCACGGGCAAAAAAAACATGTGCACGCCCATGCCCATCGGGTTGGGTATCCGCGATACCCGAACCCATGGGCAATACTGTCATCCCTAGTGTTTACATACAAAAGTTTATACCTAGAATGTGTGTGTATTTGAGAATGTACTGAATGATGAACTTGTGTGATTGTGTTGGATAAACTGGTTTGCTTCGGTTAGTTTCACTTCCATAATTATCTACTCTAATGCTTATTATTATTGGTTGTGCGGTTCAAATATTCGAGTTCCGCTTCATATTTGAGTTCACGATTTTATTCATGTTTCATTATTTTGTTGAATGTTCTATTTAAATTATTCAAGTACCATGCATTATCATCGGAGTACAATTTGGTTCTTTATTTATTATCCTTGATAAGCGTTGATCGCTTATTTGGTTCCTTATTCTTTTCTAGTGGTTTTTTTAGGAGCTAGGGTGGTTTGGAATGTGTATTCTTTTCTAGTGGTTTTTTTAGGAGCTAGGTGGTTTGGAATGTGTAGATTATATCTCTATTGATGAGTGGTTTTGGTATGTTTTGCCGTGGCAACTCGAGGTAAGTGGTTATCAGTGGTGTTATACACACCCATATCTGGGGACATACGCTTCTTGTAAAGCTCATTAACAAATATATATGCATGTGTCATTGTCTGGTATGTCTGAGTTGATCAATGGCTGCAGCGATCTATATGGACTAACTTTTGTAATAGTAATACAAATATTACAGTATAAAACATAGCTCTAATTCACAGATAAATTACTCATAATTAAAAAAGTGGAACGAGGGTAGTCAGACTCTGCAGCCGCATTTGCAGCATTTACATGGTGGACACCTTGGATCTGTGGCTGCATCTGTGGCTGCAAAAAAAAAAAAGCATCTTATAATTAAAGAAAAAGAGGACTTCTATAAATAGTATGAACCAAGGATAAAATTACCACATTAATTTTAAAGAATATCTAAAATGGTAATAGTTGCGTAGTTAATTATATAGATTTAAATAGGATATTACGTACGCAAGAGAGAATATATATTGACAAATTAATACGTATCGGAGTACTGAAACGATGATTAGAACTAGGAAAAAAGTCCAAATACAAATTTAGATGAAAGCCCGTCTAGGACCCTAAACTTTAAAACCGGATATTTAACCCCCTAAACTTTACAATACCGTCTATATAACCCCTTAGGATGGTTTTGAATATTTTGGAAGCTTAAACGAACAATTTTGAATAACTAATATAATATATTTGCATACATCAGTTATAATTCATCAATTTATTCTTATACAACAATATCATACTTTATCATGTTGGTACTTATTTGTAAGTGAGAGCTAATAAGGAGCAAAAAGAAGATTAAGTCAAAACTTTAATAACTAATAAGGACCCGGCGCAACGGCGCGAGTTGGGAAGGCCGAAGGCGGGTAGGCCCAAGCCGGGGCGCGGGGCGGAGCGCCGCTGTGCCGTCGGCCATCGTGGGATGCTGCCGCGCAGGAGCGGCGGTTCGGCGGAGCGGCGGAGCGCTGATGGCGCTGCTGCCGTCGGCCTTCGCGTGCGTGCGGCGTGGGAGGTGGGACTGGCATAGTGGGAGACCAGAAGTTAGGGGTTTTTTTTTTGTTGCCTGTTGGGTCAGGCTTTTTGGATGGTCCAAGAAAACTGAATACCTACTCTTTTCTGAGCTAAATTCTAGGGTAGTCCTGGGTCTACTTGGACTACCCTTTAGACCCGCCACTGGTTTGGTGGCCTGTTTGTGTTTTCTTATTACGTTGTCTAAACCTTTGCTCGACGTCCGCGCGCGTATGTGAGTCCGATTGCCGAGCGTCACTGGGAAAGGGAGGTGGAGGATGTCGCGGGCTCAAATGGTATAATCGTATAAATATTCTTAAACAAAAACAGTTTGATATGATTTGTCATCTTTGATAGTTCTTATCTGACCCTGAAGAGCCCAGTAGAAAAAAAAAATCTGTGACGATTTACAGAACCGCCGAATATAAGGTGTGAAGGACGACTCTGTGTACTCACCCGATGAACCTGACGCCGCGCTTCTGACAATAAGCATAACGATCTCCATCGTCACAAATATAAGAAACAGGCGGTATCTAAAAGCCATGATCAAATAGGGGCAGAAATGAATATCTCCGCCTTCACCGCTAGCTTAATCTTTCTTCGTTGTTCTACATCCTGCTAGTTTCCGTTCAATATAAAGGGTGTGAAGAACTCATATAGCACGAAGTCATCACCGAACAAAATTTTCAAACGCCAGCTACCTTCCATGTATAATATGTGATGTTTTTCTCCGTGATCTAATCTGTTCAACGCCCTGGTGGACCAGTTACTGGACGTACTAAGGACCTAAGAAGTTTCTTCGAAATATTAAAGCGTTACAGTACAGCTGAGAACTGACTCACTTGTAAAAAACGTTTTTTTGCATACGGCCCAAAAGGGGATTTTGCTTGCGGTAGGGCTATCCGCAAGCACCAAATGGTCAGCAAAAATTGCTATTTTTGCATGCGGGTGCACCCGCACATAAAAATCGGATTTTCGCGTGCGGGTTCTGATGACGTCCGCACGCAAAAATAAAATTATGAAAAAACAAATCACGAAACCCTAGCCCTAAAAGCCACTTACTACTAGAAAAAACATTTTCACCACTCACAACTTAGAAAAAACATTTTCACAGACGTGAGGTTTTTTTCCACAGGCGGGTATGACTTTTGGAGTCAAATGGCTGCCTATGAAAATATAAACCGGGGTGAAGCTCGTCGTTCGCCTAAAAAATCATTTTTTTTCTAGGTGGACCACTTAATTAAGAGGTCCACCTGCAAAAAACATGCCTACTGAAAAAAAAATTTAAGTCCTATCCTTATCTTCTCCTCCAGCATCTTATCCTCTCCACCACTCATTGCCCTCACTCTCCTCTCTCTCTCTCTCATTTCCCTCTGGCTACCTCCCCTCCCCTCCCAGATCTGGCGGAGGGGAGGGGCGTCGGCAGTGGCGCAGGAAGAGGGGGCGGTGGCGGTAGCGTCGGCGTTGGCGCGGCCGGATGGGAGGTGTGGCTCCCCTCCCTCTCCTCTCCCTCAACTCTACTCTCCTCCGCCGCCGGCCACGATGACGACGAAGCCGACTGCGACGACGACGCTGTCTGGATCCGCCGCCGCCTGGATTCAGGGAGGGGAGGCGGCAGCGCAGCCGGAGGGGGTGTCGGCGGCGGCGCTGCCGAACAGGAGGTGTGGCTCCCCTCCCTCTCCTCTCCCTCAGCTTTACTCTCCCTCCGCGGCCGGCCGCAACAACAACAACGACGACGACGATGCCACCGCCGCCTGGATCCAGGGTGGGAAGGGAGGCCACCATCGGCCGGAGGGGGAGGCCGGCGGTGCCGCCGGGGGGTTGGGGTGGTGGCGGCGGATTTCGCTAAAAATATTTTTGCAGGCGGGTGTATCTACCGCCGGCCAAAATGATTTTCGTAGGCGGACCGCTTGGCCGCCTGCGAAAGTCATATATTTTCGCAAGCCTTTGCGTACAGGCGGTTCTTTCCCCTGCCTGGAAAAACTATTTTTGGCCGCCTAGAAAAACGTTTTTTCTAGTAGTGATTGTTGTCGTCCTCGTCATCGCCATCATTGCTCGAAGCCGCTGCCGTTGTTGTCACCATCCTTGTCCTCATCCTCCTCCTCATCATCGGGTGTAGGGGCGGGCGGGATCCGCGCGGGAGAAGAAAGGGGTGCCAGTTCCGCTCCTCACGTTGCCACCGCCACATCATAGGGGCTGGATCCGTCGCTGCCAAGTCTCCACAGTGCCAGATCCGCCGCCACCAAGCCTCCCCACCGCCGCCACTAAGTCTCTCGACCTGCACCACCTGATCATCCCCTCTCGAGGCCAGCCGGCTGTGGATCCGCGAGGGAGGCAGCGAGGCCCATCCGCCGTCACCGTCGCTGACCTCCTCCGCCGCCACCGGATCCGCCCCTATCGTGGCCAACTGGTTGCAGATCCAACCTCTTCATTGACCTGCCGTATGAAATAGAAAACACAATATAAGACCCAAAATGCCGAGTAGTGAGCAAAGGAGATCATAGATGAAATAGCTTGATAGTCAACTTTAACCTAAGATTTGCCCGTCAAACCACTGTAACACTGTAAGTAGTGACCGAATGTGTTATATATGCCAGGGACTTGACTCAAAATGCTAAATTTCACGATCATCTCAATTGCTCAAAACCGTTAGTCCGTTACTCATGATCAGCTAGCCCAAGGAAGTTACTGGCTTCATACTTTCGTCTTAGCCAAGATATCAAAACTCGTACAACTTAGAAACCACTAGATACATATAGCTAAATCATATATATACGGTCGACCAGCCAATAGTAAAGGTTCAGCAGAAAGTATGTCTACCTTAGTTAGAACCGTCTTAATGATCAACCGTTCTAGCATCACTCAAACATAAGCAACAAATCTATTCTATCAATTAGCATTTGTGAGTTATGAATTTTCCATGTTCTATGTTAGTTATACGTTATTTAAGTTAAACTTAATTCTTAGTGTAGTTTATATCTAAGTTCATGTTAACGCCAAAATTTAGTTAGATTCTTTAGTGGGTTCGGTTAAGGAAAGAGCACAATCAGCCGATGGAAATCTTATCCAGAAGAGTCCGAGTTCAAAAAGGAATCATGGGGACCATGACATGGCAGCTTAATTTATCTATTAATTAGGCAAGTTTTGATTTTAGAAAAGTTTGGGTCATGTCCAATGAGGACTTTATATTTTTCCTTTTATCTTTAGAAAAGTTTGTTTAGTGTCCGATCAGGACTCATATCTACCCATGGTTACAAATATGTACACTTGGGGTCTCTGTAAAGTATATCCAGATCAATACAACTTCGGCGCATAGCCACCCTTTTTATTTTCGTCTTTGTTGACGAGTTCTTGTTTCGAATTGGGCTACATCGGCTTTGATCTCCGACGAGGAGTAAGGCTTGTTATGGCTGTTTATATTGGCGGGGCTAGGGCCTCGACATTCTAATCTTGTCGATGTAAACACCTATTTATAATATATCTCAGTTAATCTAAGTTGATGTCTCAATTTACCTGTATCGTCTAGATCTTTAGTAGGGTTTTGTTGGTATCAGTTAAATTGTTTTATCGATCCAGATTAGCTAAGGTATCCACCACCCTGAAAATCAGTCAAAGACTTGATTGTTTAGATTTTATGTTTCTTTTCATACTTAGTGCTGCATCAATTGAGTTTGACATACTAAGTCATGCTTAGAATCATAGAAACTAACTTGCCAATAAGGGTTTCATCGGGGTTTCACACCCGGAGATTTCTCCTTTCCCTTAGTTTTTAATTCTTTAATAAATCTCTCGAAGAAAACATTCTGTCTAACCTGGAGCAAACCTCAATTTAATAATGCACGTTATAATCAGAATTGCCATGGGAATGTTTTTTGGTAGGGATGAAAACGGATCGAATACGGTCGGAAACTAGCTCTACCATATTCGTTTTCATAATTTTTTTTGGAATCGAAATCGGAATCAGAAACCCGGATATGAAAACGGAATCGAATATTATCGAATACAAATACGGAGCGAATACGAAGCGAAACAAATACGGTGACGAATATTAATCGGAATATAAAAACCTCTCACTACTCACAAACGATTTTTGATATTGTGTTTCTAAAATCATGCTCTATCATGTTATTGTGTTTTTACCGCTATTATTTTGGCAATTTTTTCGTGACTTTGTTTTATCAATTAAAAATTTGAATTTCAAAACTTCAAATGATATTTTGAAGCAGTAAATAAATTCAGCTAAAAAAGTCATGAACATAAAAGTTGTAGAACTCATCAAGACATACAACTTTTATTTTGGTCATTTCTTCATCCGACAAAATGATAGTAACATTGTTCACAAAACTTACCTCTCTCATTTAGTTTGTAAAACTAAATGAGAGAGATGTAAATTTTGTGAACAATGTTATTATCACTTTGTCGGATGAAGAAATGACCAAAATAAAAGTTAGAGATCTTGATGATTTATAAACTTTGTTGTTGATGACTTTTTTAGTTGAAATCATTTAATATTTGAAAATGTTGTTTGAAGTTATCATATTTTCAAATTCAAATTCAAATTGTTCAAACAAAGTCATATAGAAAAATGATCAAAAATAAAAGTTATAGATCTTGATAAGTTATACAACTTTATTTTTGACAATTTTTCCATTTGAAATCATTTACTACCCGAAATATTTTTTTGAATTTCTTACATTTTAGAATTCAAATTTTATATAGTTCAATCAAACTCGGATGAAGAAATGACCAAAATAAAATTGGTAGATCTCACTGAGTTCTACAACTTTGCTTTTGACAACTTTTTCATATGAGTTCATTTAGTGTCATAAAATTCAATTCGAATTTATTTTTTCCAAGAAGTCTGATTTGCCTCCTCTTTGGGTTGGGCCGGCTTATGGGCCTTATGTGTAAGTCGGATATCCGATGGAAAATACCGGATAATATCCGATTCCGACGGATATCACCTATATCATATTCGTTTTCACATCCGAAAAAAAATATCCGAATTCGTTTCCGAATTCGAAAATTTCCGGATATATCCGACCGAAACTATCCGAATCCGAAAAAAGATCCGGTCGGACGGAAATTATCCGAATCACTTTCAACCCTACTAATAGGAGTTTCAGATGAATATTCAAGGCAGAGGAAGAAACCCCGTTAACCTAATAAAAATCATCAAGGTTCAATCCAATTAATTCATTGCTCTGCCGGTGGTTCGCCGCACCATCGTTTCCTTGTTGTTTTTGGCTTCGCCCTGTGTTCACGGGTCGAGTCCTGTCTTATTCCAATTCCGTCGCCGTTTTCCTTTCCTTTCCTAAAATGGCACCGCCTCCTTGTCCTCTCCCTCTACCGCCTCTCCTCCCCCTGCCGCCACCCCAGCCGCGCGCTGCGCCCCACCAAATCCTACCACCACCCTAGCTGCCCCTCTCCACCTCTCCCATGCCGTGCCGCCGTCTCCCCGCCACCGGATCGCTGCAGCCATCATCGTCTCCCGTGAGCCCTCTCCTTCCCCTTATCCCTCGCCGATATGGTTCACCGTCGAGTTACCTCATCTAATCTAAAATATCCATGTTTCCCTAGTTGTCGTCATCGCCGTCCGTGTGTTCCCGCCGGATCGCCGCCATCGTCGCTCCTCCACCGGTCGCCGTTGTTTCCAGGTGAGGTATCCTTTTGTTTCACCTCTTTGTTTTGTGTGTCGCCGTCACGGTACCGCCATTGCCGGCGCTTGCCGAGCCACCGCGCCACTGCGGCCGCCTTGCTGCGCCGCTGCCCTAGCGTCGCCTCCGCCGCCGCTGCCTTGCCGCGCCTGCCGTGTCGCGCCGCCTGACCGCGCCGTGCCACCACTGCCCTAGCCGCAGCCGGCCGCAGCCCTTGCCGCCTGCCGCGTCCGCTGTCGCTGCCGACCATCTTGCCGTCGCGTGCCGGCCCATATCGGCGAGGCGGCCTTGCCTCGCCGTGCCACGTCTTGCCGCATGCCATGTAGTGTATTGCTGTGTCATCCCAGTTCGGTCAAGCCGAGTCGGTAAAACCCTAGAGTCCTTCGGTTGGTTCCGTGACCCACCCAAGCCGCCGGTTTTGTTCACTGGTTCGGTGGATCGTTTGTGTGGTCCTGTGCCACGGTAGGTCGATTCGTTGAGTCGTTGCTCCGTGGGGCTCATCTACCGGGGTTCTATTCCGTTAATCTTGTCTGCACTCGGGCATTAATGTTTAATAATGGAATAAGGTTACCGGTTAATAGTAATTACACAGTGCATATTGTAAAATTCATATCTAAATCATTCGTGCTCCGTTTTAATCCATTCAAGTCTCAGTAAATTCATAAAAATGTCTAGAATCCATTAAAATGGTTCCTTTTGTTGTTTCAGTTGATTTATAGCATGTTTGCTTGTGTGCCTTGTTTGTCGTATAGAATCCAACTGTTCTGACGCTCCCGTTTACTTCAGAGTGGTCACCGAAGTCCCGTCAGCTGAGGAGCAAAGCAAGTCATACATACAACATTGATCATACTGAACCCTCTTTATAAAATCCCTTGCTTTCTATTAAACTGCATTGTTTTTATAATGTCGTGTGGGATGGATGCCTATTGTACTCAGCCTATTGTTGCCTTATGCCTTGATAACCTGGGTAATGAATTGATTAGATGATTGGTTTAGGTGATGCTTAGCCATGCTTAGATCAATTAGCACACTATGGGTTTCATCTTAATTTAGTCCTTAATTTAATGATATTGTACCATCATGGTATTAATTTAATTAAACTAAAATATGCTTAAATGGTGGGTCGTGGGTGCATGGTTTTGCTAGTCACACCCATGACAATTAAGGACCGGTTCTCGGGAAACCCTGGAAGAATTACCCGTACTTACCACAGGCCAGCGTGGGCTCCAGGCTGAATTTGGAGCATAGCTTAACCTAGCCAATGTACCAAGGCAAGGGTGGGCGTGATGGAGTAGGACGGATCGTGCTACGGTCTTTGTTGCTTCCAGATTCACCTAGGCACAAGAGGGGACTGTCCGCTGCCTATTGAGGAGTGGGGGGTGAAACTTGAGGTGCGTACGATTGGTTAGCGAGAGTTATGTGAAGGGTTCTATCATAGTCTCTTTTCGAGATACCGTGGTGGTATTGAGGCGCATGGTAACATGTTGTGAGGCTGTGTCTTGTGGGTAAAGTTGCACACCTCTGATCAGAGTAAAACTATTCGAATAGCCGCACCCGTGGTTATGGACTGTCAACCAGATTCACCGTGATTAGTCTCATCTTAATAAATGGATGTGTTGAACTGATTTAGTTCAGGTGGTTTGGTTGGGCCTGTTTCAACGTGGTTAAACGTTGGGCTGTGATGTTAACATTGATTAAGCTATATCTACTTTTTACTATGTTCAACTGGTGATTTTAAAATGCTTGCTTTTATGCAAATATCCTATAGCCTTTCCTTTGCTTTTACCTTGCATCATGCCTTCCTATTGGTATGACTTATTGAGTACGGTGGGTGGTACTCAGTCTTGCTTTATTTTTCCCCCAACCCTCAGAAGCAGAGAATTATTCAGATCGAGATTATTTTGAGGATTAGGCTTATTCCGGATATTGAGGATGCCTGTGGTTATGGAGGATGCTACGCTATCAAGAAGATCTTAGTTTAGATTATTCGATAATTTATTTCCGCTGTATATGTAAGAATCATTTATTATTTTTTGTAAGACGTGGATCTGTGTATCAATTTATCGTTTGTGTACTCAGGCTGGTCTTGGACAAAGAATTTAACACACATTCTGCTTGAGATTCGGGTTAGCGAATTTCTAGGCGTGATAGGGTTTCAGCCAACGAGTTATCTGAATGTTACGTCGGCTTACAAGGATTATATACAAGTTGGTTTTAGCCGATTGCAATAATGGTTTCACTGATTATCTAATCATGTGGATTTAATGACATCGGAACACCAACCAACCGATATATGCTTAACCTTCGGATCAAGCAATTATTCTATCATATCATTATTGATTGATTGGTTTTTATTGGATTATATTATTATTTTATAACATTATCATCAACCAATTGTCTTTTTATCATTATTTACTTAAGTGTTAGAATCTACATTGGATATATAGCTGATTGCTCAAAACTCTATCGACATCAGCTAGCATTGCTATATCAGCTTATTGCCTGATCGGCTCTTATTTGTACATATTGTCAGTTGCAGAATCAGATTGACCCGCACGTCCACATCTCATCAATATTTTGGACCTGCACTGGAGTAAGCAGATCAACCAGGCCGTTGTGTTCGTCGACTTAGTCCGTGCCAACACAAATCTGGTACCATCGGCCGAGCACGGATTTTGCGTCAATAGTTTTTGAAGATTTGGGGTACAGCAATAAAGTGTGTGTTCTACTAAATTCAACCAAGTTGAGTTTTCCATTTTTAGACCTAGTATCAATTTCATCAACGATCAATGAGCAGTACGGGGCCTAAACTCGTCACAAATGTCAAGGATACATCATTGCTATAGATATTTCCAGTGTAAAACGTTATCGGTCAAAAATGATAGTGGAAGTCTTGTACTTCCCGATTTCGTACGAATTTGAGGCAAACATATGTGTTGACTAATATAATGGAATGGACTTCCATTGTCGAGGAAGTTACCACGTAAATTTGTTCTTGCTTTTCTACACTTTTTTTTTTGAACATTCTTTTCTACACTTGAAGTTTCGACTATTTCATACCTGTGGACAATGACAATTTCCCACGGTAGACATATTTGATGACATAATCCAAAGTAACTATATAAGCTAGTGATCTGCCAAAGAAAATACTCACTCCGTCCTAAAATATAAGTATTTTTTAGACTTCGAGATGCTACTTTGACCAATAAAGTTAAGATGTTTTAAATAAAAAGAGTTGCATATTATGATAATTTGTTTAATAATAAATCTAATAACACCAATTTTACTTGATTGATATTTTTCATTTATTTTACTATTATAGTTAAAATTAGAATGTTTGACTTGACAATATTATAAAAATGCTTATATTTTGGGACATATGGAGTAATAAATACGTTTAAAAAAATCCATCATGTTCCTCCAATTAGTTTAATAAAGCATTGATATTCCTTTTTTATCTAATGCACAAATTGTGTAAGAGGTTTGATAGCACTGTTTACTTTGTGGATTACCAGGTGAAATTGGAAAAAGTTCATGCTTTTCAAGTGAACCATCAGATTACATCGCGTCGCAAAATATCGTCAGACAGCTGTTGGAAAAAGTCTACGTAAGGAGGCAACTGTCGGTATAACTAATAAGGTAGTATTACTTATTTTGCTGAAAATTAAGGTCTGAAAGTTTGCATAGTCAACCTCTTCCATCTTAATTCAACAAGATCTCCGTAACTAAGTCCGTACACACAAACTAGTCATGTTCAACAGGAATGCATTGACTATTCGACCAAGAATATGGCACCATCCAACAATCAACATGGGTAAAAGATGTATAAACGCCTATTAATATAAATGTCCTAGTCCACTATAAGAATCAAAAGCATCTAAAAACTGAAACCATATTGTCCAAAATACACACCAGCAAAGATGGTATGTGCAGCTATACACATTGCAGTCGTAGCAATGCTCGTCTCCCTTACAGCATTAGCAATAGCTGACGAATCCGACAATAACCAACGGGAAGCTCTGCTCTGCATCAAATCACACCTCTCAAGCCCAGAGGGAGGCGCCCTCACCACATGGAACAATACCTCGCTCGACATGTGCACCTGGCGCGGCGTGACATGCTCCAGCGAGCTCCCAAAGCCTCGTTTGGTCGTGGCCTTGGACATGGAGGCACAGGGCCTCAGCGGAGAAATCCCACCCTGCATCTCCAACCTCTCGTCCCTCACGAGAATCCACCTCCCCAACAATGGCCTCTCCGGTGGCCTCGCATCCGCAGCCGATGTTGCCGGGCTCCGATACCTCAACCTCAGCTTCAACGCGATCGGCGGTGCGATCCCAAAACGCCTTGGTACGCTTCGCAACCTTTCGTCCCTGGACTTAACAAACAACAACATTCATGGCGAGATCCCGCCGTTGCTTGGGAGCTCATCTGCCTTGGAATCCGTCGGTCTCGCCGACAACTACCTGACCGGAGGAATCCCATTGTTCTTGGCTAATGCGTCCTCGCTCCGCTATCTTTCCTTGAAGAACAATAGCCTCTATGGGAGCATCCCTGCAGCACTTTTCAACAGCTCAACCATCAGGGAAATATACCTTGGAGAAAACAATCTTTCTGGTGCAATTCCACCCGTAACAATATTCCCTTCCCAGATCACCAACCTTGATCTTACAACGAATAGCCTGACAGGAGGCATACCACCATCTCTAGGGAATCTCTCATCGCTTACAGCACTCTTAGCTGCAGAAAACCAGTTGCAGGGAAGTATACCGGATTTTAGTAAACTATCGGCGCTACGGTATCTTGACCTCTCTTACAACAATCTTTCTGGAACTGTAAATCCCTCCGTTTACAACATGTCGTCAATCACATTTCTCGGTTTGGCCAACAACAATCTTGAGGGGATAATGCCTCCTGGTATAGGAAACACTCTTCCTAACATCCAAGTTCTGATTATGTCTGACAATCATTTTCATGGAGAAATCCCTAAATCTCTAGCAAATGCTTCCAACATGCAGTTCCTGTATCTGGCCAACAACTCTTTGAGAGGGGTGATTCCTTCTTTCGGCTTGATGACAGATTTGCGGGTCGTCATGCTGTACTCAAACCAGTTAGAAGCTGGAGACTGGGCATTCCTGTCATCCTTGAAGAATTGCTCCAATTTGCAGAAACTGCACTTTGGCGAAAACAACCTACGCGGGGACATGCCCAGCTCTGTAGCCGAATTGCCGAAAACATTAACTTCACTAGCTCTTCCGTCAAACTACATATCTGGCACCATTCCTTTGGAGATTGGAAACCTATCTAGCATATCCCTACTTTATCTTGGTAACAATCTATTGACAGGGAGCATACCTCATACTCTTGGCCAACTAAACAATCTTGTTGTCCTTAGCCTTTCACAAAACATATTCTCTGGAGAAATACCACAATCCATTGGTAACTTGAATCGATTGACTGAACTCTATTTAGCAGAAAATCAACTGACTGGAAGAATACCTGCAACTTTATCGAGGTGCCAACAATTGTTGGCATTGAACCTTTCATGTAATGCCCTTACTGGAAGCATAAGCGGAGACATGTTTATCAAGCTAAATCAATTGAGCTGGCTACTCGATTTATCACACAACCAATTCATAAACTCCATACCACTAGAACTTGGTAGCTTGATAAATCTTGCTTCTTTGAACATTTCCCACAACAAACTCACAGGCAGGATCCCATCTACACTTGGTTCTTGCGTCCGGTTGGAATCGCTTCGTGTAGGAGGCAACTTCCTAGAGGGAAGTATTCCACAATCATTAGCAAATCTCAGGGGCACCAAAGTGCTGGATTTCTCCCAGAACAATTTATCTGGTGCAATACCGGATTTCTTTGGGACTTTCACCTCATTACAATATCTAAATATGTCATACAACAACTTTGAGGGGCCAATTCCAGTAGATGGAATCTTTGCGGACAGAAATAAGGTGTTTGTCCAAGGAAATCCACACCTTTGCACCAATGTTCCAATGGATGAGTTGACTGTCTGCTCTGCTTCAGCATCCAAAAGAAAGAATAAGCTCATTATTCCAATGTTGGCAGCTTTTTCATCTATAATCTTACTTTCTTCAATCCTCGGATTATATTTCTTGATCGTCAATGTTTTCCTGAAAAGGAAGTGGAAATCCAATGAGCACATGGATCACACCTACATGGAACTGAAAACGTTAACATATAGTGATGTAAGCAAAGCAACAAATAATTTTTCAGCAGCCAACATAGTTGGCTCTGGGCATTTTGGGACAGTCTATAGAGGTATACTGCATACAGAAGACACTATGGTCGCTGTTAAGGTGTTCAAGCTCGATCAATGTGGTGCATTGGACAGCTTTATGGCAGAGTGCAAAGCACTGAAGAACATCCGTCACCGAAATCTTGTCAAGGTTATAACTGCATGCTCAACTTATGATCCGATGGGCAGTGAGTTCAAGGCTCTAGTATTTGAATATATGGCTAATGGTAGCCTTGAGAGCCGGCTTCACACAAAGTTTGATCGATGTGGTGATTTGAGTTTGGGAGAAAGGATTAGCATAGCATTTGATATTGCTTCTGCTCTAGAGTACCTTCACAACCAATGCATTCCACCTGTTGTTCACTGCGATTTGAAGCCAAGCAATGTACTTTTCAACAATGATGATGTTGCATGCGTCTGCGACTTTGGTCTGGCAAGGTCAATTCGTGTTTATTCATCTGGAACTCAAAGCATATCAACAAGTATGGCTGGGCCAAGGGGGTCTATTGGGTACATTGCTCCTGGTGAGTAGGTTTTCTGAGCATACTGCAGAGTATCATACAATATAAAGAAATTACTATTATATCTCTTATGATTATAATTTGGTACTCCTATGTTTTGCTGGTTATCTGAACCTTTTTGTTTTCGAACAAAGCAGAGTATTATTTAATAGAAGGAATAAGTATTTTATGATTAACACTATGGTTCATTTTACTGGTGATCTGAACTTTTTGGTTTCAAAACATTGCAGAGTATGGCATGGGCAGTCAAATCTCAACTGAGGGTGATGTCTATAGTTATGGCATTATTCTTCTGGAAATGCTAACAGGAAGACACCCTACCAATGAAATATTTACTGATGGCTTGACACTCCGCATGTATGTCAATGCATCACTTTCACAAATCAAAGACATACTTGACCCCAGGCTTATTCCAGAAATGACAGAGCAACCTTCTAATCATACCCTGCAATTGCATGAACACAAGAAGACAGGTATAATGGACATCTGTGCTCTACAACTCCTTAAACTCGGTCTGCAATGCTCTGAAGAGTCGCCAAAAGATCGGCCATTTATACATGATATATATAGTGAAGTAACGTCAATAAAAGAAGCATTTTTTGCAACGAGCATTTGACACAATAAAAGAGGAACACCAAAGAATGAAGCACTGCCAAATTTATCTTCCAAAGTTTCTTTACTACTGCAGTAAGCTACATATGTTTTTACCGCTACAACAGGATACATTTGCACACTGTTATTTACCGATGCATTTCAAGCAGCAATTTCTATCATGTAATAAAAATTCTTGTACAGTTCAATGATTTGTTGCCGAGATGCAGCTTGATCTGTTTTTGAAGTACTGTTACTAGTAAAGCCTTCACGCCGCGGGAATAAAGAAAAATATATAAATAGTATAGCATATTCTATCTTAATTTCCCATGATTTTGGGGTAAAATTCGGGCATAAACTGAAGGCTGAGCATGTATATGAAATCGGATTTGAGAGGAAATCATGTTTACTACTCAAACGTACACCTGAATTTGTTTTATACATTGATTTTCAGTTCCATCTCGATGCAAACTGGGAGGGGTGGAGGGTATTCTCACATGTACGATAAGAGAAATTGCATCAAAATTAGGAGGGCTTAGATTATCTATGCTAACGTGATGGATAAAACAAATTTCTTTAAAATAGCATTGTAATTACAGAGATATATCGACTAAAACAGAAGATCGGATCTAGCTAAGACAGTCCCAACTAAACCAATGCTTCCCTGAACACGATGAAGTTAAAGATAGAATTAAAATATCCAGTAAGCAAATATACCAATCTAACTAGAGCAATCCAAGAGATCCAAACGATGCGGTCTTGAAGAATGCCAATAAAGCCGATACAATTGCCAAGGCCTACGGAACTTAGGGCATACCCCTTCGCCGGAGATCGAAGCAATGCAGCCCCATGTTAGATGCCAAGTTCCGCCAGTGATAAAAACTAGGAAAAGAGGGTGGCGATGCATCGAAAGTTGTATTGATCGAGAGATAATTTACAATGACCCCGGGTGTACATATTTATACCCATGGATAGATATAGTCCTTATTAGACACGACAAAGAGTTTCCTAAAGATAAAGTAAAAAAAATACAAACCCTGATCGGACTCTAAACAATCTTTCCCAAAAATAAAAAGAAAACTAAGTGACTCTACCTAATTAATAGATAAATTATCATGTCACATCCTTCGTGAACTCGATCTCTTCTAGAGAGTAAGATGACTAATCTAATTCACCGATTAGAACCTGTCGAGAACAGCCCGACAAGATCTATTCGGCGACTAGGGTATTGGCTTCCTTTGAATTGTATTTTGATGTGGCTTTAGCTATGGCTTGTAACTTGATGCCCCTCCCTCTAGCTCCCTCCAGGAGGGGGCCTTATTTATAGTGATGATCAACTTCTTCTCCTAGTGAAACTCGGAGAACTAGAACATAATATGGGCCAAGGAGACCTTATCTTCCCCGACTAGGACTCTGACACCTTCTATTCTGGGAAGATAAATTCCTTCTAGATACCTACACTTTCTTAATCAAAGGATACCTTCTCGTGTAACATTAGATATATGATATTTCCGTATAGCGTAAACCTATCTATAGGAGGTGTGCCTTATCCTTAACACTGACAAAATGCTTTTTGATATCATCTGTCCAGGTGGTGTTGCCTGTGAATGAGCAACTAGGCTTCTAGTGAGTTTTAGCTAGTGAATGATGACCAATTAAGGGATTAATACACTTATTGAGTGTATAAACAAGGGATTAGTATGATCAATAAGATAATGATGAGATGATGAAGAAGTAGGAATACAATATGGTTTCATTGTGATGGAAGGGTATAAGTGACTGAAGATGACAAGATGCGGTAAAGGGTTGATAAGACTTGCTGCCTACATGATGGGCCATGCAGGAGAGAAGGGAAAGCGGAGGCTTGGCGCCAAAGGACTCGATACAATGGTGAAGGGCTTGGGGCAACATCGACGGTCTGGTCGAGTCCATAAAAAGTCACAAGTTAATAAGGATCAATCTTTATTAAGAAGAAGCGTATAATTGTATAAGGCAAGGCTTGGAAAGAAGAAGAAGAAGATTTCCAAGGAGATACACTGGGCTGGGCAATCTTGGAGCAGTAAGATTGTCAAGGAAAGCTACAAGAGCTGGACAATCCGAGAGGGGTCGGATTGTCCAGGAAGGGCCATGTCTAATTACTTTCAGAGATTTACATGACTTAGCTGACAGATCCATGACTCAGTCACAGACGCAATTTGGCCTCGTAAAGTTCCTCTTCGTACCCAAAATTCAATTGGCAACATCCTTACATGCATATTTACAAATCCATTTGAATGCACATTGTTAGATCATCGTCAATTAACCACTACTCAATGTAGACAGCAAAAACTGGGAGGCAATTCCTACAGGCTACTGCAACTTCTTCCTGACTAGTGCTAGCAGGAAACTCACCTGCCTGTCAAACATGGGTGCTGCTGTTCATCTTCTCCGTTGTTTTTGTAGCTTCTAAGGAACAAGCTGCCAGGCCAGCTGCATCACATTGTCATCGATGTATGGCCGCAAATCCCACATTTGACAGTAGCCCTCTATCTCCGACGATGATGTTTTAACCCAAAATGCCTTTACAATCTTTTCCTGCAGTGTACTCTAGCTTCTGTGAGAAGAAAAGGTAAGCAATCAAATGAAACTCACTTACATGCAGATCCTTGTGTTGCTAACCTGCATCATGTAATCCATTTTTAACATATTGTGAACCAGGACAATCACACTTGCAAAAGACACTGCTCCGTCCAGCCAATCTTCAGGCTGTTGTTCATCCTGGTACAAGAAATCTCCCAGTGAGCCTAATCAGCCATACTATTTTGGCACCAACGAAAACCAGAACTAATGAGAGTCTAATAAGTAATAACACCAACAAGAATGCGCACCTCAGAACAAACATTTGTAAGATTATCATGATCAGGGCAATCATCCGTATTTCTTGAAGAACTCAGACTGGCTGTTAGTGCAGCACTGTAAACATCTTCCTCCAGAAACTGGAGCTCTTCCAGCAATAATTTGGCTGAGGAGAAAAATATAAACTGAAGATGTATTCATAGAAAACTAAGACAGATTATTATTTAGGTTTAGTATTTACAATATTTTGAACACGTGCATGAGAAAAGTGAAAATGGCATGGAACTGAGATAAAATGCAAACCCTTGTATGGTTTGTTCATGCTCCATGATGCTTGGAAGAATAAAAATAGAGAGGAGATCATGGAAAAACTGGGAAAGGCCACACTAGAAATAAAATGTTGTGCCAAAGACTACTTCTGTCCCAAAAGGAGTTCACTTCTGTCCAGATTCGTGTAGAAAAATGAACTCTTTTTGGGACAAAAGTAGTAATTAATTTCTCCGTATCAATAGTTCTATTACAAATAGCACAAATTAGAAAACACACAAAAATCTTTCTGAAAATATGGAATAACAAAGTAAAATGTTACTATTATGGTATGACTGAGAAAGAGGAGACTACCTTTATTTATATGGTCATTAAGTTTCTCCTGATAAGCATGTACTGCAACAAAAAACTGTACTGTCAAATAGACATAGTTGAAAAAGAATAATGAGTTGTGATAAAAATCATGAATTGAAAACAAAATATGTAATTAAAGAAAGTGTTAATCATCGAAGCAAAGAAGACACCCCACTCTAGAAACTGCTGTGCATTAAAATTATTGTTACAACAAACAAAAGGATAATTAATGACCTAGTTCACAGTATATTTACTTTTCTTTTTAGTTTTTGGCTAATTAGAAACACTGCAGGTATATATCATATAAAAACATTCAAGGCTTCAAACTAATAAACAAGTTTTTTTAATTAAAGGAAGAAAATGTTGTGTTTTGATTTTTTTTTATTTCTCCTATAAAAAATTAAGAGGTGCATTCCACAATTACAAAGTTCAACTAACTAGAATTGCAGTAAAATAGTACCAATCAAGGTATTCATATCAGCCATTCATTGGTATTGGCAAGAAAACATGATATACAAGGAAATGACTGGCTTGATGTTTGAACAGTTTCAATCTATAGGCACAGTTCATGATTCCATATAATAAGAATAAGTTGAATACTCCATAAGACAGGCAAGACCCACTTCAGTTAGAAAAAGAGGGCGATGAGTGAAATTGCAAAACAAAAAGGAATGAAATAAAAAAGTGTGAGATAAGTTTTGCACTCTTCATGCTAACAATATAACTTGGTAATTTTATTAGTGAGGTCTGAAAATAAAATATGTAGGGAGTTGCATCGTTACAGGGTACTGTACAAAGAAATGGTCACGATGGTTAATCTGACTACCACTATATGAGGAAATGAGAAATTAATTTGAATGGAAAGCAATATTGCACAAAGTTTTTAATAATTAGTCATAAAAAATCTGTTTTCAATATAGACGAAGAAACAAGAAATTAATTTGAATGGGAAGGAATATTTCACAAAGCCTTTAATAATTAGTAACAAAAAGCTGTTTTCTAATATAGACAGAACACCTACAGGTAGCAATAGGAGATGTGATGATTGGGCACAGAAAAATGATCTATGACTTACACCGGTTCATGTTCTGGATGATTTCATTGTGATGGGTGCAGCCAGCTTCAAGATAAGACCTCATTCTGTCACTGTAGTTAGACTTAACTATCTCAATTATGGCACTTGACTCTGTGAGGAGCTTTGGTCTCCAAAAATGTTCTGAAATAAGTGGATGCATTCAAGTTGACTGTAAGCACAAAACTTATCAGTGAGCACAGCCATATTTATCATCATTGTTCGGAAAGATTAGTTTATAGACCAAATTTATGTTCTCCACATTGAGATTCCACATGGAATCGATGTAATAACGTGAGTATGCTAATAAGTAGAATAAACATGAAGCAGGAATCCATGGGCAGGATTGAGATTTGAAGAGTAATCATTTGCCAGAAAATGATAATTTCAGTACACAATTGCATGGCATACAAGTTTACAACAGAAATTTACTCTGTTAAATACAACATCCGCGGTCCAACAAATAGCAGCACAGCTAGGTAGAACTGAAATAAAATACGAGATTACACCAATAAATGTTGAAATAAAATAATGTAGCAAAATAAATATAGTTTACTTCAAATTTACCAAAGCAAGAAAGCTAGTATAAAACTTGGCCCATCTAAGACAGGCTTATTATGGGAATTTTTACATTTTTCTTATCTTCATCGTAAAACTGAAAGCCCTGGCTTATTCTAGGACCTGAAGTTTCAACAGATCAGGACCTAGCCCTAAACTATCAATAGTGGTCAGGAACATGGGGAATCAATAGGGTATAAGTAATTATGCTATAGAATTTTAGAAGACTTGGACATGAATCATACGATGGACAATCAGGTGAAACCTTCAAAAATTTAGATCCAAAAAATAGAGAAGAGAAAATTACGCTGGCTAACATATTTTTTTTCAGGGAAAAAGAAATGAACTCACCTACCTCTTGATGAAACTTGAGAAGAACCTTTTTACCTGCATCAACTAGCTCGTCATACCGTGCAACCCTAAAAGCAGCAACAAATTCGCCCGTGTATTTTCCATAAATTAGACAGCCACAAGAAATAAACAACTTAATGAAGGTGTCTGCCAGTGTAAGAAAACGAACGAACATAACCATAAAACAATACCTCCTAGACTCTTATAAAATTAGTACGCATTAATTCACACCATAAATTGGAAAATATTCACCCAGGAAAATTATTCAAAGAAAACCCTAGGTTTGCATAAGAATTGGAACCCTAGGTTTTCATATAAGAATTAAATATGTGCAAGCAAAGATTTGCAAAAGTTATTAATTCAGTTGTTTTCACTGCTACTGATATTAGTTTCAACACCACACAACACATCAGATCTACTGCAAAAGTTATATCAGGACCTCAATGGTTGGAAAAGTGCAGGATCGAAATTATTACTTGGTCATGAAATCCAAGAAGATGCGATGAACTTTGTCCTCCACACATGCATCAGGCGATGCCATTCCCGACTCGCTGCTTCCTTGGCCACGACAAGAGCCCCTGAAAATTCAGCACAAAACCCAAATGCATATAACAGCTCAGCACTCCACCACGAAGTAAACAAATCAGCAGCAGACAGGTTCGAGTCTCCATTCCAGAAAGAAAGAGCATATAGAGATGTGGATTGGATTGCTCATGGCAGTCTGAGCAAACTGTTATTAGTACTAATAAGATTAAACCTGCAAAGAGAAAATGCTTCCAGATCTAGAGGAGGAGTTGAATGGCGTGAACGGGGGATGCGCGGACAGGTATGGGTGCTCACCGGTGGCGGCAACGCTGGTCGCGGGCGGGATGGAGGAAGGCGACGGCGACGGCGGCGCGGCGAGGGAACACGGGACGCGAGGAAAAGGGAGGGCTACACTGGTCAGTTAGGGTGGGCCGTAAGCGTTATGGGCCTTACACAGCCTGGCTCGGCTGAAACAAACACAGTTTATGAGATTTTCTTAGGAAAAAAAAATCCAAATACTTCCGTAAACTTTGATTGAAAATCAATGTAATACCTCGAACTTTCAAACTGAACATGCAACCACTAAATTTTACAATACTATTTTGTAACATCCTCAAATTTTAAACTAAAATTTGAATGCATCATGCTGGCTTTTGATTAAATTTGTTTGGTTTAAAAATCTATTTGATTTTTATTTAAAATTTGGTTCAAGTATTAGAACCCTTTCAATCTACTCTAATTATCCCCTTTATTCCAAACCTTAGTAAATTTAAGCAAATTCTCTCAAATTTCAAAGCATAGGTTATTTTCTTAATTTACCCTAATATTAGTGGAGATTTGCTATACTTCAAACCTTAGTGAAAACCTTCCAAAATTATAGTTTAAATTCAAATCTTTCTAGGGAAAATATTCAAAATTTCTGAATTCTACTGTTCATTGCACATAAGGTGTTCGGTAGAATGTCTAACCCAACTAGAGCAGCCCAACTCCATCCAATCTTGAACAAAGTTTAGATTTGGTCCTAGGGGACCACATCCCACTGAAAAACCGTGGCTTTCTTTGCCTCTTCCTCCCCTTGCGCGCGCCGCACTGGCATCCGATTTTGCCGTGCGCCGTGTCGCCGCGCGTCGGCTTTGAGGCCGCCCGCGCGTGCCCGACCGCCTTGGCGCGCCGTCGCCCATCCGATGCCCTCAACCCACCGTCGCCGCACCAATCTTGACGACGACAAAGCTAGGACGACGACCGCCGCACGAAATTGCTGCTCGACGCCGTGCGCTCCCGTCCAAGCTGTCGCTGAGTGCGAATTCGCTTGTACCCAGGGTGAATCGCGCCAATTCTTGCTGCACGGTTGGATTGGAGATAGACGGTGGTATTCCCTCTCACAATTCAAACCATTCACCCCCGAGCCGGCCGTTTTCACCCTCACCGCCGCCGCGCGTCGCGCCCGGATTGGCGCCAACACGTCGCCAGCCGATTCCAACAGCGGTCAAGTCAATCCTTCGCCGGTAAGTATTCAAACGTGACCTCCCGCCACTCAAATTGATCTTGGCCGCCCTCTCACAGCCTCTGCCGCCCTAGCCATATCCAAAGCTCGAGCTCATCCATGGCGATGACGGTGTCCGAGCTCATCCGCTCCTCCTAGCCCTATAAATAGGACCCCAATCCCTTCCCTGTCCATCATCGATCATCAACAACCATAGCCCCACAACCCCGAAGCTCTGCTTCACCAATCCATTCCATCAACCACCATCGCCCGTCGGTCGAACACCTTGTGCGCGATCGACTCCACACCCCTTCATCCATCCTCCGCGCTAATTACCCCTTAGAACACCTATAACCTACCATGTTCTAGCATACTAAGCCCTAATCGAAGCATCGCGCCGAGTTTTACCACACTGCACCAAGCCGAGCACCGCCGCCCCCGCGCTGCTATGTTCTTCGCCGCCGCGAAGTTTTTCCGGCCGTAATCCATCGTTTCAACCAATCTCGGTGAGTTCTTCCGTTTTAACCATCTACATACTACCTAGAGTCCATTTTTGCAATCGGTTTGCACTATCATGCCACCCTCTGAGCTGCCGACGTGAGCACGGCTGCCGCCTATAGAGGCGCTCGTCGGCGACTATACTCCGCGCCTTGCCAAAGGTCGGCAAGCTGCCGGAATCCCTCTAGACACCTCATAGATGCTCTAGAACCCCTCCCCTAGCCATGCCTAACTCTTATCACCTTGATCGCCATCTCGGCCTAACTGTGCCACCGCCACCCTAGATCCCTAGCTCCCTCCCCTCCCCGGCCGCAACCACTTTCTCCCTCTAGCGCCGCCGCAATCGCCAACCCTAGCGCCGCCGGCCGCTTTTGGGGAAACGGCTGGAGGTTGAAGAAGAGAAGAGAGAGAGAGACTGACAGGTGGGACCCACACATAGTGCCATTTCACATTTATTTGATTTTCAAACTTTAGAAGCCCATATCTTTTAAAATATAGATCCAATTTCAGTGAAACTTGGACCAATATTCTTCAAAAATCATTCTCTATCTATTGAGCCCCTTTTTTATATTTTTGAATTTTATTTTATTTTCTCTATTTTTCTTATTTTTGGATTTTATGTGAATTCCTTTTGAATTTGAATTTTATATGTCTAACCCTAGGTCTTGAGGATTCCTCTGACACACTAGATAATATCAATCAATCTCAGGACATCGAGCAAGGCAAGTTACCATATACCTGTTGATCATTTAAGCCTATATTTTACAAATTATTTATTTATAGCCTTCTATTCAATATTCTATTTTCTATGCATAAATCAATCATAGAAACTCAGATAATTTAGTATTGCTTATTTTGCTTACAATCTGGTTAAAATACCCTATACTTAGATTGGGACAATACGTAAGATTTGGATGATTTCCGGGTGGCTAGTATTGTCTCGATCGATATAAGTTTCGCCAGGTACTTATGTTGAACGAACGGGTACGACCGCAGTTTCTAGAATGGGGACAGACCTAGTTATTATGTTAATTAGCAATATGGCACCTCTGTATAGTGGTTCTTATTTTTAAGTCCTCACGCAGGAGGCAACTATAGCCGCGAAGGGCAACTTTAACCATTACCATGTACATGTAAATGGTTTGTGATACTCGAGTATAAACTATATGGTATATTTCTAAACCCTGATCGAGATGACGTGGTGTCATACGATCAGTTCCTCTTAAATACCTCGGAAACGCCAGAACTCCTCTTGCTGCTGTTAACATTACGTTCAGAGCATATGAGGATATAAATTCATAGAACAGGTGCCAAAATTGTTAATAACTTAATACTGGGCTACAACTAAAGTCGATGATTATCAGCAGGTCGTGGACTGCGGGTAAAGCGTACATCTACTGCAGTAGAATATCTTTGAAACTATTCGAATAGCCGTACTCATGGAGTTGAGTACCGGGACTCATATGGTACCCTAGTTAGAAATCTAAAGTTTATATGTTTTATAAATTCTTGCTATAACTTTTCCAGATTGTCCAATACTGCTTTTTGCAAAGAACCCTATTATATGTCCGAATTCGCTATCCATCTGTCGACAGATTTTCGTTTAAAGATTTGTCGATTTTTGGGCCATATGATTTGCGTGGAGATTTGTGCTAACTAATACGATGGATAAAAGAGACAAGTCCGTGCGTAGCGGGGGATCGATTCCAAGAGCACTAGTTTTCCCTGTTAAACGTACACCACAGAGCAATTAAGCCAAGTTGGTTCAAGACAAAATAAAGTTTATATTGAAGTTACAGTGTTAGAAAACTAAAATTACAATGTAATTATACTATAGTTACATGTATGTAAATATGGTGTAATTATAGTGTAACAATAATATAATTAAAATTACAGTGCAATTATACTATAATTATATAATTACATATGTAACTATGGTGTAATTATAATGTAACAACAATGTAATTAAAATTACAGGGCAATTATACCATAATTACATATGTAACTATGGTGTAATTATAGTGTAACAACAATGTAATTAAAATTACAGTGTAACTATACCATAATTACATTTGTAACTATGGTATAATTATAGTGTAACAACAATGTAACTTTAGTAGATGGATTGGTAATATCTTTGTATGCACTAAAAAATATCTAGTAGATATCACACTATACATGAGCAGATGAGCTCTCAAGGATTAATAATTAATATGGATAAATAACCAACTAATTTTGATTAAGAAACGAGAGTGTGAATTAACGTCGGAAGCCCATCCATACTATCGATTAGTAGATGCGGGACCTCAGCAGTGCTGTACACGTGTCATCCATCTATCGTTTATGGGTTTAATCCAAAGGTACAAAATTTGACAAATTTATGATGAAAAATCTGTCGACAGATGTGTAGACTCTCCCTTATATGTCAATGCATAACATATTCCCGTGATAACTTGCTAAGTATTGTAAATACTCACCCTTGCTCTTATAACCCCTTTTTCAGATCTGGGTCAAGAGGAGGACCCTTATGACTATTACTACGAAGACCCCGATAAATTAGAAAATCCCTAAAGGTTATACCTCACTAGTCAGAATGTATAGAAACTTCCGCTGTGTATTAATTAGATAGGTGAGTACCTATTATTGTAAAACCCTTAGTATTGTAAGACTTTAACATATGTAATGAAGAACCAGTTATATTGTATGTATCAATTTTACTGATCCAGGGATTGATACATTAATCTCAGTCGGATCCAAGTTATTGGTTTTGGGCTCCGACATATTTATATAACCCCTAAGGTGATTTCGGATAGTGTTTTTTTTATCTAATTTGTATATAAGTTAGATGAGTTTGATCACGTGATATACACATTGAACATATTTGTTAAAGATCTTTACTTAAGTTTTTTTTCCTTTACCCCTCGTTCGCTCTCACTTACAGAACGAGTACCAACATAATAATTGTATAGTATCATTGTATGGCATAAATTGATAACCTATATTGATGATATTTAAATTTGTTACAGTAGTTATTTAAAACCACTTGTTTAAGCTTTGAAGAGTGAAAAATCATTGTCCAAAACCATTTTAAGGGGTAATGCGAATTGTATTATAAAATTTAGATTGTTGGGTGTTTGATTTTAAAGTTTAGCTGTTAGACGGAATTCCATCCAAAATTTAAGAGAGGTATTGTATTTGGACTTTTTCTATTTCCTTTTCATTCTTAAAATTAAAAAGACTTGTTCTAATCCAATCAAGCAAAACAACGTATGGGACCCTAAACTATGAATCGAATCATCTCTCACAATGGATTGACCTAAGAAACAATCTGTTTTCAAGAAAGCCATTAATTAATAAACAAACCAAAACGCAAAAAGCAGGGGTGATGTCGAAAACCCTTTTTTGAGAGAGCACTGGTGATCGGCAGGAACATGAAATTCCTAATTCCTTCATGAGTCAGTTAAAAGTGTCAGCTGGGTC